ATCCATCCATCCATATCTATCTATCCATCCATCCATATCTATCTATCCATCCATCCATATCTATCTATCCATCCATCCATCCCTATCCATCTCTATCCATCCATCCATCCATCCATCCATCCATCTCTATCTATCCATCCATCTCTATCTATCTATCCATCCATCTCTATCTATCTATCCATCCATCTCTATCTATCTATCCATCTCTATCCATCTCTATCCATCCATGGATGGATGGATGGATGGATAGATGGATGCTTATCTAAGAGGTGCCACAACTAAACTGTTAGACGACATCAAACATGGTGTACAGTGCTGCAGCTACTCACAGCGAGGGTTCCGTGTAGATCCAGGGAGTCCTCTTTACACTGCTTCATCACAAACTCGACTCCCAAGAAAATGTCCCCAAGGTTCAGCTCATCTCTATGAAGGGGGCAAGGCAGTTTACCAGGCCTCAGGTCCTAAAAAAAAAAAAAAAAAAAAAAAAAAAAAAAGTACCATTTCAACTGATTGTTTCAATAAGTCAAATAAAGTAACCCCCCTCCCACCAAATTCCAGTTGGTTTATTCTTACGGAAGAGGAATATATGTAACGTTAGCCCAGTTAATACTCAATGAGAGCAATACTGTCCTGTTTGCATGTACGTTGGTCATATTTACCTCGTAGAATGGAAATGAGAGGACATCCGTGGGCACATTTTTCTTTCTGTAAATTGTATTAATTTGCTGAATCCTGTGGTTATCCACGCAAACGATGCCCAGGTCAAATTTATGGATGGCCAGTATGTGCCTCAGTGTATCAACATCCTTGCGCAGTCTGGCGCGGCGAAGAGGCACCACCTTTTGGAGATTCCGCAGTACTACTCCCATTTCAAAACCCGGCGTAAACAGAGAAAACAGGCTATTTCAAAAAAAAAAATCGGAGACATAGGTTTATGCTGAAAACATAACCCACCTCCGACGAGGGTTAGTAATTCAATTTAACTAGTAAGTGTGGCAGTCAGTTCACGAGAAGAGTTGGTCAGCTTCGCGTTAGCCGCGAGCGATGTTCAGCCATTCCGGGCCGGCAGAATTCAAGGTGACACCGCGGTAGCAACATGGAGGACCCCAAACGGATTATTTACGCTTTATCTGTGTTGTTTGTATATGACAGTGAAGTTGCGAGAAGTTAAACATATTTTTTCGTCGAAGGAAAATGGTCCCTCGCCCGTTCATTCGCTCAATGAACCGGTCGCAACGTTGGCAGTAGCAGAAAAGAATTTAGCATCAAGCGGGGACCTAATTAGCTGTCGGACCGGAACCGGATGTGAGGAAATGTGTTTGAACCCATCATTTTGTTATCGTTTGAGCTGCGCAAAAATATCAACATAGCAAACTGTGAAAGGTGAGATTTTTGTCGTATCATCATTGCGGCATTTCTTAGGATTTTTGTTGTTGTGTCAGTACAACAATTTTAAGGGCAATGGAACAAACTTTGCTACGCAAACTTCAACAATGTTTGTGTTGTTAGCTCGTGCTAGCGGCCGAGCCATGTATGTTTATTCGTTCCTGTCTTCATAATGTTTTGACTTTTACGTAATATGGTGCTACATTGAAAAACTCGTGAGACGGAATCGGTGTTGCATATTCATGCTACTTGAACGCCTGGATGAGAAACGTTTTTTTTTCAACAAATAACTAAGGATTCTAAACATCCGCAAATATTTGCGCCATGAATCCCTCCAATCCGTTTGGCAGTCCGCAAAGTGGAGCTTTCCAAGCCCCAAGCAACGCTATGAAGCCTGGTTTGTTCCAGTCCTTTGGACAGCAAAGTTCTAGCAATCAGCCCCAATCTGTGGGCTTTTTTCCACCATCGGCGTTTGGACAGCCGTCCGTCTTAAATCAGCCCTCGCCTCATGCAAATACCATCTTTGGACAGACCCCTGCCTTTGGACAGTCGTCTACACAGCCCCCCTCACTGCCTACCATAAGCCAGGCTCCAGCATTTGGACAGCCATCATTAGCAATGAGTAGCTCAGGCTTTGGTAGTAGCACCGCACCAGCTTTTGGACAGACTAGTGAACCGAACCAAAGTTCAGTATTTGGCCAGACCCCTTCATTTGGGCAGCCGTCAGCGTTTGGGCAGGCTCCAGGTTTTAGCCAGCCGGCCCCGGAATTTGTCAAACAACCACCAGGGTTTGGCCAACAGACCTCTGGGTTTGGACCTTCCCAGATGGCTCCTGGCTCTGCCGCCGCTTTGGGGCAGCCTCAGCCACTTAGTTTTGGACAGTCTGTGTTTGGACAGCCGCCAACTACCAGCGCCGCCACTACCGGTGTATTTGGCACAGCTCCGAGTGCGACCCAGAGCAGAGGCTTTGGAACGTCCAATTACAGTTTCAAGCCAGTCAATGAGGCGCTGTTCAAACCCATCTTCAATGCCAGCCCTGAGCCCGCTAATCCTCAAACTACTTCAATGTCCAGCTCACCTTTTGGCAGCAGTGGGTCCCAGACGAGCTCCAACATCATGAGTAGCAGCGGCACTGCCGCCACTGGCTTCTCTCTGTCAACGGGGGCTACATCCGGCCAGCTGGGCTTCAGCTTCTCGCAGCCGGCTGCAGCCCCCTCTATCTCTGCTCAAACCAATACACTAACAACTGGCAATAGCAGCACTCCTTCTAACACGCTGCAGTTCACCTTTTCCCAGCCAGCAGCGCCCTCCAGCTCCAGCACCAAGGGATCTACCGCCGAGCCCACCACCCCGTCATCTTTCAGTTTTTCAGCCAAAGCCCTCCAGCCTCAGGCAAAAACCCTTTTTGGAGGACCCAATATTGGTCCGCCCCCAGCTTATGGTGACATCAAAGCCAGAGCAGACACTAGCATAGAGGAGAAGGGGAGCAATCCCGAGGGCCTAGGAGAGACCAGTGTATTTGCACGACTCGGTAAAGGCACCAAGAGAAAGGAGGATCCAACGGTCCCCAGCGCTGTCCCAGAGAAGCCTGCCACAGCAGATGAGAAGGAGGAGGATGTTCCAGCAGAATCAGATTCACCACGACATCCTTCAAAGAGGCCCCTAATGAGGTCCCGCGCCCCACCAGTAGGCTTGTTCGGTAGGGCGTTAAGTGGTCTTCGGAGAGAGGCCAAAAAGGAGCCTGAGCAGCAAGCACCGAAGTGGGAGGAAACGGAGAAGGAAGACGTTCGATCTCAGGGGGATGACGTACCTCCTACACCACCCACAGTGCAACCACTGACCAGGGCTGCGCTGGAAAAAGCTGAAGAGTCAGGTGAGACATACAAATAATACATACGGTGTGTTTCTTACATTTTGTATCAAGGTGTGTATGAATTTCTGAAATCTACAGATTCTGTGATAATCTCAACAATAGTGTTTGGTTTTGATGAAACACAGACAGAAATCTTCATTCTGCTGAATTTCAAGTACATATCATCAATGAATTCAAAGAGTGGATTGCATTATCAGAATATGCTCATCCTGTTGTCGGCCTATAACCCTCTCTAGACTCGGCCTCGGACCTCGGCCTCACCACCCCTGTGAGACGCGGCGTACGCAGGGAGAGCGCGGAGAGCCTGAGTGGCATGTCTGCCTCCGACTGCACCGTCATCCAGTGCAGGAATGTGCCCCGCTCCCTCAACAGGAAGGACGTGATCGAGAAGCACTTCGGCCGTTTCGGCAAAATCAGTCGGGTCTACTGCCGGCCTGCCAAGAACCTGGTCATAGTGCACTTTGATGACCATGTGAGTGAACTCTATGCTACTTACCCCGGGGAAAGCAAGTTCACCATACTCTGGCTATTTTGAGTTTCCTGGCTTCACCAAATCTGTCAATTAATGATAACCGCGCTCCAAGCACTGGTCCCCTAGTAGCTTAGTTTTTTCAGGTTACTCCATTCACTACAGTACATTTTTCTTCTTTACTCATAGTGTGTTCTTTGTGGCCATATTGGAGCCTTCATTTTATTCCAAGTTGTTTGGACCAACTTTTTCTATTTCTGAGCCCGGCCCGTTTCCCCCCAGGGAACAACCCCAACAGTTAGCTAGCTTACCCGCTAATCGTGATGTATATTTTTCTCATTTTAAGTCTGTCACTGTTTGACTCTCTTTCAGGTGTCAGCGTTAAAGGCGAAGAAGAAAGGAAAACAACTAAATAGACATGAGCTCCTTCTCATGTGGCAGAGGAAGAAGCACAGTAAGTGCATTACCGTGAAGGTTGAATTAATATAGAAATAATTGCTTGCACCCAACAGGCACAGTTCTGCTGTATTGATATGACTGTTTTAGAAAAGCAAATGTGACTATAAATCAGGACTTTGTGTTAATTTAATATTACCTCTTCATTCTTTGCAGTGAGTCACTGTATTGCTTGTTTTGTGCATTAGGTCCAGAGGACAAAGGGAGCAGAGCTGCAGCAGGAAAGGAGGAGGCAGAGGGAGAACGTCATGAGGACACAGAGTCCAAGTCTTCCTCACCACTCAGAAAACCTGCACTCAGAAGTTTGATGAGCTTCAGCCGCAGGTACACGTATACACTTGCATCTGCCTGGACCCGTGCCCACCCTAAAAACAGCTGAAAACGTTACTGTGGTGCTGTGACTGTCTTTCGCGTGTCTTTTTCATGCGTCAGTTCTCCGGTAAAGAAGTCGTCATTGGCCAAGTCTCTGCAGTTTGACATCGAACCCCAGAGAGAGAGCCGCTCGGAGGCCCAGAGAGAGAGCCGCTCGGAGGCCCAGAGCTCGGAGCGCCCGGTCCCCTCCTCCCTCCTCCACCTCGTCGGCCAGACGGCCGAGACCACCGAGGACAAGTTCCGCCTCCTGGAGCAGAGAGACAAGATCCTGCGTCAAGGTATAGCCACCGCTCTCACACCAATCTACTGCAGCCATTAAAGGGATAGTTTGGTTCTGAATTGAGGTTGTATGAGGTACAGCGCTACTGTAGAGTAATACACCGACTATGGACAAGTACCTCATACAACCCCACTTCACAACATCTCAGCTGTCCCTTTTAACACGGCTAAAGACACGAGAGACATTCTAACCGAGTGCATAATCTGTCCGCACAGGTCGGCCCAAGAGGACGGACCTGGACCTGTCTAAGGTGTTTGTGGGGACGTGTCCCGACATGTGTCCAGAGAAGGAGCGGTACATGAGGGAAACGAGGAAACAGCTGAGCGTTTTCGAGGTCATCCCAAACAGTGAAATGGTAATGTCCTTTAATGCTTATGTTCCACATTCAGAAGAATATAGGCCTCTTCTCTGGTATTCTTAGCTTTCGTTATTTATGTTTTTATCTAGTTCTATTGTTTATTTTCATCCATTGGCATATTAATACATTGGTGGAATAAGATCACATTGTAGGTACGTTCCAGGCGTATTGTGTATATATAATGAAAAATAATGTTTCTGCAAGTGCTTCCAAGTACGTCAAAGAAAGGAGGGAGGGACTCTGTAGACAAAATAAATGAAAATTTTACCTCCTGTCCCCGACTAGGTGGATCACAGTGGCGGGCCATGTATTTTATACCTGGGCCTTCACTGCTATCCTGCAGCTGAAACACAGCTACGGTTATTATTTGTTTCGTGTAAAAATGAAGCATCTGTGGGCGGCGGCGGAGGGGCTCACGGCAGCACCCGCTGCTCGTTCACGACAGTGCAGAACGTACATGCTTTAACGTCAAAACACCAGAAAATTCTCCAACAACACCAGAACAAGTCGCTAGATTTGTCACTAGTAGCTTTTGACAAAAAAAAGTTGCCATGAGGGTTTGGAAAGTCGCCAGATTTGGCGGGAAATTCGCCAAGTTGCCAACACCGGCACCTGCTAAATGTCCCCAGAGCAACATTGGACATGGTTCCTATCACATATAAAACCAAACAAAAATCTTCATAAAAACAAGTTGTACAAATAATATTATATAAACAAGCATATTAAAGCTACTGCAGATGTAAAAACAAACGCATTTAACTTACCAGAGCTGCTGTTCACTATTTAAAGACAAAGTGCATCCTCCTTTCTTTGTTAATAAAGAGTTTAATCCCACGCTTGTTCAGTACATCCGTGCTTTTTAGTTCCAGTAAGAAGTCCTTCTCGATTCATGGACGCCAGTGAAGACAGTCAAGCCTCCCCAGTTGTATTTCTTGAATAAGTTTTAATGCGTTTGAGGGCTGAAAATGTCTGCTCCACAGAGGCAGCAGATATTGGGATTGTCACCGCCCAACATGTCAGGCTAGCCCACTGACCAATCACGTACCTGTAGGCCAGCTAGTAGGCTCTGGCATGTCAAAGAATACGCCCAACATGTCAAACTAAAGATCTGATTGGTTGAAGAACATGACAATCAACAATATCGTCCCCATTCACTTAAACTGCAAAGGGATGCACGTGTGAGTCTGCAGGCCTCGGGCCTCTGTTCTAACCTAGAGACACAGAGGTGAAATCTGATTGGATAAAAGCTCTACTTAAAACAAGCTGCAATGGAAGCAGAGCAACTGAGGAAGACAGTAGCTGTGCAATGAGAAAATATTTTTATAAATTATAATACATGTAGTGTATTTAAGAAAAATTATTAAATTATAAAATAGCTATAAATTTGTGATTCTGTTTAGGCCAGCAGAGAAGGCCTTGCAGGCCCTGACGGCCCGCCACTGGTGGATCACTCGGCAGCCATCAAGGAATACAGCCGCTCATCAGCGGATCAGGAAGAGCCCCTGCCCCATGAGTTGCGCCCCCTGCCCGTGCTCAGCATGACCATGGACTATCTGGTGACTCAGATCATGGACCAGGGCCATGACAACTACCGGGACTGGTATGACTTGGTCTGGAACAGGACCCGCGCCATCCGCAAGGTAACGGCCCTCTTCCAATGTCTTATTACTTATTATTTTTTTATTTGTGTAAAAATCAGTTTTTTTTTGGGAAGCTTGGCTGAGTGGTGCAGTGACAACCTGTTTCGGCATCAACTCCTCTGAATACTTCCCATCACACTTTCTGGGTCCCAGTGGTGATTTTTGCAGAAGGGAGGAGCTAACGAGTTGTGACACGTGTTTAGTGTACTGATTTCTTCCTCTGCCACACCCACAGGATATCACTCAGCAGCACCTGTGCTGCCCTCACACGGTGTCGCTGATTGAGAAGTGCACGCGCTTCCACGTGCACTGCGGCCACCACCTCTGCGAGGAGCATATGTCGGCTTTCGACGCCAAGATCAACAACGAGAACATGACGAAGTGCCTGCAGAGCCTCAAAGAAATGTACCAAGACCTGGCCATGCGTCAGGTGTACTGCCCCATGGAGGCGGAATTTCGTCAGTACAACGTGCTGCTGAAACTCAACGACGGTGACATCCTACGGTCAGTCCATGGCAATGCAAATTATTAGATATATTGGCGGAATGTCATTGGCACATTTCAATTACTTTTTACGTCTTTGACTTCATGTTTTGGGCCTTGGTTTGTTTGCATTGACTGCATTTTGTGCCTCACCTCACCCTATTATACGCTAAAGAGATACTTGCTCACCCATGTCCACATAGTGAAGTTCAGCAATTCCGCGACGAGGTGCGTAATTCCCCCGAGGTGAAGTTGGCCGTACAGGCATTCGCTGCAGTCAACAGCAACAACTTTGTGCGCTTCTTCAAGCTGGTGAAAGGAGCCTCCTACCTCGCCAGCTGCCTCCTACACAGATACTTCAATCAGGTCAGAAAGACTTTCCTGCATTCATTCATTCAAACTGAGACAACCGTGAACTTGCCAAGAGAGTTTTCACTAATCCGGATATGCTCTATGACTTTGGGAATATGAGGAAATAAATGAGCATAGAAAAATCAATTTCCGCCATGTTTTTGGGAATAAAATGTTATAAATCAGGCTTTGAATGATAAATGGACAAACCCCTCTGTAAAAACATTCAGAGTATAGAGAGGAATGAAACTGGAAAGTTTGGTGTAGGATGGTGTAGTGAGGATTTCTGGAGAAAAAAAACAACTAATTTTGGGAGAAATGCCTTGAAAGAAATGTATTGTAAAATGAATTACACAACAGGTGAAAAGAGATAATAGATATCAGCATGAAACGTTCCCAGTTCATTACATACATTATATACAAATGAGGCATTATCTAATACTAACCTCTGAGGAATTTAAAGATACAAACAGACAAATGTAGTCAAATTAACTTCTAAATGTGTATTTGGATGTTTTTTTTCCAGACTTGTTTTGGCCCAAAATCACACAGGGGCGTTCTAACTGCTGCCATTAAAGTAGTAGATGCGAATAATGTTTGGCAATCTTGCAGGTCCAGGCAGAAGTTTGTGTCGTTTAATATTTCTGTCCTTTCAAATGTGTGTGTGCGTGTGTGTGTGCGTGTATGCATACAGGTTAGAGCTAAAGCCTTGAATATCTTGAACATAGCCCTCACCGTGGGTCCGAGATCGACTGCGTTCCCAGTTGAGGACATAGTTCGGATGTTAATGTTCCGCAACACCGAAGAGGCTTCTGACTTCATCCAGCAGTACGGCCTCAATGTCAACGATGGGTGAGTGTCTACCGGTGGTCTGATGGATGTGTGAGCTGTCAAATTTGAGAATAAAGTTTTGGAATAAATGTAACTGGACAACACCTGATTGCAGCCTCAGAATAATATATCTCTATATTATATAAATAATGTGTCCCCAGGGAGTTATGTGCCTCAGAGTTAAGTAGTCATGATCAAAAATTTCAATGTGTTCATAGAAGGCCACATGATGATGGTGGTAGTGGCTCTTTCTGCACGATTTAATGTAATTTATTCAAGTTGTTTTAAACACCTATTTTAACCCTTTAAATTCTTGTTTGTTTACATAATACCACTAGTGTTTTTTATGTAAACAAACAAACAAAACTTGATTTATTTTCTGTTTACTAAGTGCTAGGGGGATTTATTTTTTCACTGTCTGATATGTCAGTGATGAGCTACATCAATGATTTTGATGCAATTTTATTTTTTTGTGCAGGAAACCAGGCAAATAGCATGTATTTACCCAACGAGGCAAACATGAGAAAATGTGTCTATATACAAAAGAATACATGATTTTACTGTAATTACTGTAATGGCATTGGGATCAAACATTTTGATTTTAATTGGGACATTTTTGGTCTTAATGGTCTGAGTGTCTGTATTTTATTATAGACTAATTATAGGAGCTGAGGTTGAACTTCCAGACTTTGAAAAAAAACAAAATCCACAAAAATGTCCCGAGTGGTGCTGAAGGGTTAACATGTAGTTAGCAATCACCTCAGTCACTGGTAGTGATAAAATGACTGTTAACCATATCCACCTCATGTTATAGCTTATGTCTAACAGAAATGCATATATTAATATGTTTAGTTAATATTGTCCACAGTGTGGTAGAGCTGAGTCGGATAGCCTATCAGGAGCCAGATCTGCCTCTGTCCCAGAAGAAATCCGAGGTCATCCTCGCAAAGAAAGCCGTGTTGATCGGAGAGGTGGTGAATGGAGGCCCCGTCCCCAGCCCTCTGCAGCACACCCCTGTCTGCAGCTTTGACTCCCAGAACAGGTACCGCGGTGAAGGCCCTCTGGCTGAGCCCACTCCCAGCCAATTTAAAGGTAAGTGCTCCTTTTTCCTGATGGTAACCCCGGCTACTTTTGAAATGTAATAGATTACATATTATCAATGACCCTGTTAAAATGTAATAAGTTATGTAAGAATATATTTGGATGTAACATTTTGATTGGTAACTGTAATTTAACTACATAACTTTTCTCAGTAACTGGTTGTAATTACATTTATTTTATAATTGATTCACAGACCTCTGTTCCATCTACCTAGTTACTCCTCAACTTTACTGGAAATAAGCATGTCATCTTATCACATCTATAACAATAACGATGTTTTTGTTTTTTTTAATTGCCTCAGCTATCGCTGCCAAGGCAGAAGTTAAGGCACCACCCGGTGTTGATTTGCTGTCACAGGTGGTTCCAGATATGCCCGCTGCGTTCGGGCTGCCGCCCGCTGTTACTGATGAGACGGGAGAGCGCAGCGATCGGTACGACCGCTCGGCCCACCCGGCAGACGCCCAGCAGCTGTTCCAGCCGATACCCCAGCCGCAGCCCGTCGAACCGCCATCACCTCCGCCCAAACCTCAGCCGGCGTACAGCAATGAGGTGGGCAAGATCTCTCGGCTCTTTAGCTCAGACCGCATAAGATGGCCCACCTGGTGTCTTGTACATTTCGGTGATGGAAAAACAGGGGTGTGGGGGCAACTAAGTACATTAACTAGGTACACGAAGCTCTTAATCTTGAGTATTTCATTTTCATTCTTCTTTATACTCGTACTCCACTGCTTGTCAGAGAGAAGTAGAAATATAAACCCTTTACTCCACAACATTTTTCTGACACCTGTAGTTACTTTGCAGACCAACTTCCTCATGAATCTGCAATAATAATCCAACAGTTAAACATATTATCACACTCTAAAAAAACAGCCTTTCTAAAGACATTTTGCTGACTTGTAATCAGGGTATTGTTACTTTACTAAAGAGACGGCTCTGAATACTTCTTTCACCACTGTGTTTGTCTTTATTCTAAGCTATTTTAAATGTCCGTATCTGCCTGTGAAACCTGACAATCTTATCGCTTACCTGGCGTTTTAGCCACCAAATGTCAATTGCAATACGTATTTTAAGGTTGAGTCTGAAATCAAAATATTATAGGAGTGGAAAGTATTAATCGCTTAGTCGTAGACGGAACATTTTCTCATATTTTCTTGCAAAAATGCCAAAGCTCAGCTTCTTAATTGATGGGATATGCTGCTCTTTATTTTGTATGGTCGTAAAATAAATATTTTGGTTTTGGACTGACAAAACAAGCAATCTGAAGATGGCACCGTGTACTTTAGCAGATGTTTGGATGGGTATTTTAAACTAGTATATGACGTTTCATAGACCAAACAATTAATACAGAAAAGAATCATCAGATTATTGGATAATGATAATAAACACAAGTTGCAATAAAATGTAATCCAAAAATATACCTAAAGTCTGTATTATTAGTATTATTTTAGTATGTGTATGACAGTAATTGTACTGTTTTTGTCTCGTTTCCCCCCGTCCCCCCCCTGCAGGACATCATGGCTGTACTAGACGTTGTGATTGAGGAGGTGGTTGGAGCAGCAGTGAGGGAGGTAGCAGGTGCTGGTGCCGGCTATGCCACAACAGCTCTTGCGTAAGTTCAATCGATTTTATCCATCCAGCTATTCTGCACCAGCTTTCCTTGTGCACGTTTTTAACCACGTGTTGCCTTTTATGTCCCTTCTTTACAGTTATCATTAATTATTTGATTACAGTGCGAAGATGCAGTGGAGATCTTGATATGACTTAACTTCCTGTGCTGTTGCCTTTTGGTTCTGCAGGGAGAGCGGTGTGCAGGTGGAGTCACTGGTGAGTGAGGTGTTGGGGCAGATGCTTCAAGAGGTGTCCTCCAGCGAGATCAAGCTGGAACAGGAGCGTGTCGCCGACGAGGAACGCAAGCTCGACGAAGCCAGGTTTGTTAAGAACAGCCTGTCGATTTAAAGCACACTGTGTTTTATCAGTACACTCGGCTCGGTTATGAAAGGAGAGCAGCATCTTCTACTCTGACCCAAAACACAGGACCCAAAATCATCTTTTGTAAATTGTTAGATTTCATTTCACAGCATCAGACCAATTATAAAGTAGGTTAGATATAGTCAAATGAAAGAAAAGAAAATCAAAGGTGCAAAAAATGGCCAATCATTTTGATCCCTGTATCCTGCCAATTTCTAGCGACTATCAAAGTAGCTTTATTGGCCACAGCTCACCCCTCCATTTCCTTTTCCATGTCTGTCCGGCGCCAGGAGGAGGCAGGAGCACGAGGTCTTCCTGGTTCAGTTAAGCTTCTCTCTCTGCAAAGACCTCATCTACGAAGCTCTAGATGAGACCATCAAGGAGACCGCCACCTCCGAGATCCAGTAAGGCTTTAAAAGTCGACCGAATTCCAATGTGGTCTGATGTGAAGTTACACGATTACCAAGACTACTTAGAATGACAATAAGGTGCTCGCATTAAAGAGGAATATCATGAACTTCAATGTCTTCAACACTTTTTTCCCCCCCTCATTTTTCAGACAGGCGGTGACAGAGAAAGCAAACAGAGTAGCTAAATGCACCGAGCAGGTCTGTACCAGTCTAGTTGAGGAGACGTTGACTGCAGACATTGCTCTGTTGCTTGAAGACCTCCTTGAAGCTGAGCTGCAACGCATCCACAAGTATATCAAAAGGTAAGAAGCTGAAAAATATGCAGACCTTCATGTGAAACTAGCACCAAAAACCCATTTGTGACGCCGAAAAAGAAAGGCTCACCTAAAAATAATCTATCAGTTTAAGTGCCGGCTATACTTAGAATATGTTCACAGCTTTGTCTTGCCGTCAGATAAACCTTTCCGACCATGAACTGAAGCCTTTATTTAGGCTCTCCAAGCTACCAGACTGCATTGGGTGATTTAACCTTGCACAACAAAGGAGTTGCTGGTCTGCCGCTAACCGCGTTCGGTTGTTTGTTGTGTTATTTTGTGACTTTGGTGAATCTGAACTCACCCTTTAAAACACTGAAGTCACACAATAACACAAAAAAATCAGCCAACCAGGTTAGAGGTGGACCAGCAACTCCTTTGTTCTGCAGGACTGTTTTTGTCAAAGGAGTAATGTGGCTTTGAAGATGTAACAACTTCAGTTCACAATTTAACTGATATTGATTTTTTTTCTTTTCTTTTTTTCGTTCACGTGTTGTTTCATCTTTTTTTCGTCTTTTCTTCTCTCATCCGTACCACCAGGTGGCGTGATGTGGTAGCGGTACGTCGGCAGCTGAAGCGACAGATGAGAGGCTTCCCTGCCGCTCCTTGCTGTGTGGACCCTCGATTCAAACTGAAGGCTCTGGCTCCCAGCGCCCCCGCCCCCTGCATGGCAGATCTGGCCCGTGGTCTGGTCAACCTAGGAAACGCCGGCACCCTGGCCCTCTCCAGCACCAGGTATGTTCTTCTCCAAGTACAGTTGTTTTCCCAATCGTGTCTTAAGAATATGTACGTATATATGTATTTTTTACTTTTTTTTTTTTTTTGTTAAGATTGTTGAAAATGAGAGAAGAAGCAATCCACCAGATGAGGGTCCACTACTACTATCAGCAGCTGCTTGAGTAAGTAATTTCTTTGTTTATTCAGACAGTGGTCCACGTCGCGAAGCAGCATTTGACCTCTTTTTTGTTTTTGGTGTTTCTCTCAGTGAGAGAGTGTGGGAGCCGCTCGACCTGCCAGCACTGGTGGCAGAAAATATCCCCAACCCGCCCGACCGAATATTCTGGAAAGCTGTTCTCCTCCTGCCGAGCGACCACGAGAGTGTAGCCAGCTTGGCAGACGGGTAAGCAGCAGCTCTTCAATATGACAAAAAAGGTCACCGACAGTGGTGACGGGTAGATGTTTGATTACCTTTTCAAGGTTTAGTTGATTTTCTTCTCATTGAATCTCACTGAACGTTTCATTGAGCGTGTCCTCTCCTCTCGTCTGTCTGTCTGTCCTCAGGATCCTGTCAGACTGGCTGGAGGTGAAGCTCGGTGGTTGCAAAGGGTCAGAGGTCAGCGAGGAGCAGCTAGATGGCACACTGCAGACCCTCTGTGTCACCAACACACTCCGGGACAAAGGACAACGCACCTACAAAGTCCACATCAGCATCAAGGTAGACTGCAGCTTACACTGACAAAACAAAGAGATCAGCAAGTCTGTTGATTGGACTGCATTTATTCTCATTTGTACATTATTCTGTGCTTGAGGAAAGTCCTTCCACAACAACTTCTATATTGACCGAATAAAAGTCATGTTTAGATGTTGTTAAATGCTAATAGGTGGCTTTAAAGAGACAGAGATCTCAGCTGATGAATACCACTGACTCTTCACAAACACTATATGTTGTTAAATGCTAATAGGTGGCTTTAAAGAGACAGAGATCTCAGCTGATGAATACCACTGACTCTTCACAAACACTATATGTGCCTATCTATATATTGGGGCTTATTATTAACCTATGTTGGTGTTGAGAAATTTGTTTGTACTCTATATCATTTAGTTAGATAAAAAAAATACTATGTGGTTTGCGTAACATGAGGTTTTCTGACCAGTCTTCTCGGTGGTGTCCCCCCCCCCAGGTGTCCCGAGGCCCTCTCACCGAAGACGGCCTGTCCAAAACGGAGGAGTGCCGTGACCTCCAGGGGACGGGGGCTCTGATTGTGTTGCTTCCCGCCATCACCGAGGCCGGGCACGACGAGCAGGATTTAGCTCTGCTGTCGGCCCTGCTTCAGCTCAAACAGCTACAGCAGGCCAGCGCCTGGCACTGCCCGCTGCCTCTGGCCATTCTGGTGCCAGGGCCCGAGTGTGGCAGCGGTGATGCACAGAAACTCGAAGAAGGTCAGTAATAACACTGGTAATGAAATATCATTTTGGGGATTGCCCTGATTCGGTACAAACACGTACTGGGACATTGAAATAGCCATTGATGGAATTAAGGTGATTGCATTTACTGCAATATTTTATGTATTTGTATTGTAGGTCAGGTAGTAGTGAAGTAACAGTAGCTAAATTAATCTGGACAAAATGTGTTAAACGCTGAACTACTTCTCTCATGGTGCCTCCTTGTCCCTCAGGCCTGATGCTGCACACACTGGTCCAGGAGGGCCTGATATCGGAGTACACCTTCTTCTTCATACCAGAGACCACAAGTGAGCTACAGGGATCCAAGCAGGTATTACACATGCACTCTTCTTTTTTTTTTTTTAAATGTAATGATCTTCACTTTCTGGGATTTCCAAGTCTTCTACATCTTCTCTCCCCTCCGTCCTGTTCTGTGTCTCTAGCTGAGCCAGGCTACCCGTTGGCTGCTGGCCCGTGCTCCACCGCCCTTCCCGCTCTCCTGTCAGACCCTGGTGCAGCTCGTAGAGGCCAGTTTGAGTCGTGAATTCAGCCCCCGAGTTCACGCTCACCGCCAGGAGCGGGTCGCTGCACGTCTTCCCTCCCAGGACCCTGTGCCTGTCATCCAGCTGTACAACGGCGTCTTGGCTCACATCGCTGACAAAGTGTCGTCCCAGGATCTCAGCAGACTCTCGTGGCCGCCAGGAGAGTTCTGCATGCATGACACCCGTGACTTTGTCCCTCATCTGGATTGGAACTCTGCCCAGCACCTGGACTGGTTGCGCAAAGTCATCCTCAGCCTGCAGCTGCCACAGTGGGAGCAACTATCTGCTACAGGTCAGTGACAGAAATGTTAATTTAGCTTTTTATTACTGCAGATTAATGCAAGTACAAAAGAGAGATGTGAACAAGAGACCAATAATGCATGCATTATACATACTTTATTATCCCTCCCTTTCTCTCTAGACTCGTGGTCTGCGCTCTGCTCCTCCATCTTTTGCTACTCGGCTCAGATCCCAGTCTCGCAGCGCAGTCAGCCTCTCCTAATGTCACGGCTGGAAAACCTTCTGGAAAGGGTCAGGCTCAGGGGCTACCGTACCCAAACCCCTGCGTCCAAGCTAGCCACGAGCAACTGGGATGACGAGGATGCGTGTCCAGCCTTCGGTCAGATTCCTTGGGACGACGTGCTGGTGATTTGCATAGACCACAAACTGAAAGACTGGCAGATCCCCGGACCACCTGTCTGTGAAGGTGAGCACATTCTCCGGGGAATGTTATTTTACTGTCATTTCGACTTAGAACCAATGCGCATGTTCTATATAAAACCGATGCTGAATGACAGTTTGTAATTATTTGTTTGTTTTTGTTGTTTTAGATGCCATGACGGATGACGGGGAGATCCTGGTTTACCTCCCCACCGAGTCATTAAAGGGTTTCCAGCCACCTGAAGAATGGACCCAGGCCATCAGACAAATGCACCGAGAGAAGCAGCAAGAGACGGAAGGGTAAGAATGTACAAAAAGCCGTCAAAAAAGCCGTCCGTCTTTTAGATGTTAACATTAAACCTGCTGAAAAGAATACATAGGCAAGTACAAGTCACAATCACAGTACTCATCCTCTGCTCTCTCCTTGTCTCCGTCCTCAGTGCGGATGCTGCTGCTTGTGCCACGCCCGGCACTCTGTCCCTCAGACAGAGGTTGTTCAACAGTCTGGCCGAGCCTCTCGAGGCCCCAACGGCCCCGCTGGACATCACGCACACTCCCACAGCACAAGAGCTCCTGGCCCACAAAGTCCTCAAGAGCTTGGAGGAGGAGAAGGCTGAAAGCAAAAGGTACAGCGACAGCACTGCTGTTGAAAGTTTTCATTGCATCCAGAAGTTCTGCTTTAAGAATATGCCATTTTGAAGGACGAGGTGTGTGCGAAATAAAAACAAAAAAACAAAAAAAAAAAAACCATATCCACAATATGTAAGTCATGTCTAATTCCCACTACTGTCCACAGGAGCATGGAGCAGCTTCAGCGTTGGCTGGATGGTGACCCCTTGGTCCACTTGTCCACACCGCTTTTCATTCCATCCTCAACTCTGTTGTCGGTGCACACAACCATAACGCATGCACCCACAGCTGCCGTCACACAGGTAGGACAAGTCCCCTCACGTCACACAGTGATCCCGAGTTATGTCCTTTTTCAAACAGCCATTCTTGGTGTTGGGAATATTGTTGGCGTCTTAGATGATAGTGTCTTATGTGTGGCTGCAAATGATAAGAGATTCGTCAACAAAATGTTCCAAACGTTGCAATCACGAATCATGCATTGTTTTGACTTTCCAGGAGCCAAAGCCTGATGATCTGTTGGACAAAGCAGACCGACCTCAAACCATGCCTGTGTCTATGACGTGGCGGCTGAAGGAACTCGAGCGACAGATTTTGGCGAGCCATGAGGAAGAATCGGCCTGCAGACTGAAGCTGAGTGGTCTACTGAGCATTGTTGATGATTGATGAACTGTTGGTGGAAAATCACAACTGCCGCTATGCAAATAATTGAAGTACTTAAAAAAAAAAAAAAAAAAAAAAGACAACATTTTATTTGCTGAGCTCATGGCAGACTCCGGCATACAGAGTTTACTATGTTGTTTGTGCAGTGTCTATCATATTGGTTTTTGCATAAACCTGACCCTTAAAGTGTGTTAAAATCTCTGGGAAGGTTGCTCTTCTTCTTGTCTGTCTTTAACACACATTTATGTACTAAGATTGTATTTGTAAAACCAATCCATTGAAAGTGTTCTGTGTTGTTTGTAACCAATTTTTGTATTGTTGAGTAATGAAATAGCCTAACAGCTAAATAAAAGTGTAGTTTTTCCTTGTAAACTTCCCATTTAGCCTAGTTTTCATTCAATAGTTGAACAGGCTCAAGCATTGGATCATCTCAATCAATATGTGAGCACATGTGTAGCGTTTGTCGTAGGAGCGCTCTGATTGGAGGACCTCGTGGCAGACCCGCCTATTTCACCGCCCAACTGGTTTGTGATTGGACAGCCGAGGCTCTGCTCATGTCTCTCCATGGAGAGAACTCGTCGGACGGCCCCGCAAGTTCTGCTGGGAAATGAAGTGTGGGCTGTGCAGAAACGTAACCTATAGTTTATTCAAAGAACTACAATTCCCAAGAAAAGAGCAGAAGGGGCAACGCTTTCAGAGCACCAGATAAGAAACTCGTTTATATGGTTCAGCGGAGGATTCAACTCTGTATCTGTCAAACACAAATATGACTGAGGGAACGTAAGTATTTTGTTTAATTTCATGACTAATGTCGCAAAAAACTATTTGGTTTCAGTGTTTTTCATCAGAAATAATGACGTGAACGCGACGGGAGGTAGCCTAATTACGTACGTTAAGCTATTTGAACCGAACTAACTTCGTTTCAACAGTTGTGGAAAACAACTCGTATAAATGTGTTTTTCTTGTCAGCCAGTAGTAACATTTACTGAATATAATAAATGCTGGGAAGTAGTAAGTTTACTTGATTGCTTCCAAGTTTTTCTAATTGAACCATCTTCTGTGTATTTCAGAGGGAAATATTGTTTATAATATATAGTGTGACAGCTGCTGTTACTTTGTAGATTCAAATTTTACATACAAAACCCTATTATATAGATTTATATGATATATGTTATAGCATAAAATGCATCGTTATAGTTAAAGCAGCCCAACCAGGTACACAATTATAGCTGCTTACATGGTGATGCATCAGTTATTATAATCAAATGATATATACTGACAGGAGCCATTCTGCTACTAAATGAGTACTTTAACTTTTGATAATGTAAGTCAATTTTGATTATACTTCTGTAGTTATACTAATCAAATGCCTGTCTTAAAAGCATTTTAATCCACTGTCCTGAGAGTACAACACAAATTGTTTGACAAATAGACGTCCAGATATATACGCCCCCAAAACAGGTTTGACTATTAAAATGGTTTATGGATGTCCTACTTCCGACAATGCAATACAAGATATCAAAAACCCAAAATGAATCAACTCCTCAGTCAGATAGCTAACAATATAGGCCCATTGTAAGCTTCACAAAGGTACAGTGGTATTAGGTTGCAATATACTGCACAGTTCAAGTTATGTCTGTGAATAAAAAAGTCTTAGTGAAGTTTAAACTTATTTTGACAGAGAGGAAACGCTGCCTTTAAATATATATTTATATTTCCATCACTTGAAGACAGTTTTGTATTGTGTATCTAACATTAAAATACTTGCTGTTCTCATAGGCACCTGCGGAGGCGAGGGGGGCCGTACAAGACGGAGGCAGCCACAGACCTGAGCCGCTGGAGGCTGAGTAACGTGGAGGGCAGGCAGACCTGGTGCTATGTGGACGATCGGGACTATCGGGACACCCCCGACAGAGAGCAGACGATGCTGGAGGCCCATTCCCTAGGCTTGGACACGGTAGGCTTTTTAAAATTGGGTCAAATGTTGTTTCAAATGAAAAAATGTTTGGTTGGTGATTGTTACTTATTCCCTACATTTTACGTTGCACTGATTCATATGGACTCTCTATGAAACGTTTGAACAACATTATAAAACAGACACAATAAACCCTTTTTAGTATACAGTGAGAATAAAATGTGTGAATGATTTCAGATATAGAACTGGAGATGTCTTACATTATCATGTTATGAAATAAAAGACTTCTTAGACTTCTAATGTACGAATATAGAACAGAAACTTTAAGCTGTTTGTGTTAATGGTAATCAAGGTGGTTGGTAGACCCCTGCATTGTTTGACATGTGTCTGGTGTTCACTCATTCTCCCCACAGAGTATGTTCGTGTCTGGCTCCGAAGCCGCCCACACGGCCGTTGATGCAGCTCTGAAAGGTATGCACTTCTACAGCCAGCTCCAGGCCGAGGACGGTCACTGGGCAGGGGACTACGGCGGACCTCTCTTCCTGCTCCCAGGTAGCCCAATCATCCTCCTCTATTGTCTTATATGTGACACCCGTAATCTGCAGCCGCAATTTGTTGTCCTTCGAAGTAACGGATACATTTCATTTAAAGTTGAGATGAAAAGAAAAAGGCATTTTGAACTCTTTAATATCACATCCACAGTTATATTGTGCACCTACTCCACAATATATCCCAAACAATTTGACAAAAAAAATCCGTATTTGTATCAGCATTTCTTCTTCCTGTAAAACTAAATATGACGTGTGCATATTTAGTCTAGTGACAACCACTTTCAACCAGTAATTTCATGACGTCCATCCATCAAACAATCTGCAACTTTAAGCGACAACGGAGGTGTGTGTGTGGAGTCCTCTGTAGCTCAGTGTTGTGCTACATTGTAAGCTTGCCCACTTTTTAGTGGTCCAATCAAATGCAAAGAATTTGATTTACATTTCTCTGGTAACTGTACACGGCTCGATTATTCTGTTCTGTTGGGGAATACTCACAACACAGAAGCTAAATGAGCTCTAACTTCCCTTTTACTGGGACTTTAAAGTGTGTGTGTAGAATTTAGCCTGGTTATATAAAAAAAACAGCATTTATTGTCAAGAGACATCATTTATTTAACTTAAAGAGCATATTTTGAAGGGAAAAAAGTACCTCTATGTGTTATGTCATCACCTGGGAGGCAAGTAAGAAAAATTAATCGTGGTGATCCATTTTCTAAGTTTGATCTACATTGATTTCTCTCCTGTGTTAATGACTTAAGAACAGGTGAAAGGGGGTTTTACCGGGATAATCTTTATGTCTCTTAATTTTTTTCCACCACCTGTATAAAACAGTTTTGTCAGGATAATTTTTCAAAGTTACTTTTATTTTTCAACAGGTTGTTGTCAGGATCAAGTGTTTGTTGTTGTAATACTCATTTTGGCCATAAGAGGCTTAAGTGCACCACTACCCCATGTTTTAAATAGCATAAAAAGCACTAATCTTCCCTAACGGCAGATTTAAATGCATTTCTAGACATAGGAAAAACATGACAGTACTGTTACATTACTACTAGCACACAACGTGCACCTTCTGTTTAGAGTGCATGAGGAAAACGTACCTGGAAGAAAACATTAATGCTTTTAGTCCTGTGTAGAACATGGGTTAGTCAGTGGTGCATTTCAGCCTCTTGTGGCCGAAGTAAGTATTACAACAACAAGCACTTCAATAACAGAAACAATTGAGATCAGACGTAGAAAACGAATCACCTGAATGTTTTTGGTCTTGCTTGCCTCTCAGTGCGTCCGTACATGACAGATGATGATTAAAAAAAACAGTAAACAGAATTAGGAAATTCAGAAATGACTTTTTTTCCTGTGCTTGCGTGTCTATCTGTCACTATATTGGCGTCCATTGGTGTGTTTCAGGTCTTCTGATCACATGCCATGTGGCTAAGATCCCCCTGGCCAAAGCCTGGAAGAAAGAGATGGTGAGGTACCTGCGCTCCGTGCAGCTGCCAGATGGAGGCTGGGGTCTGTAAGTCAACTGAAGATCCACACTCGCATCACTATTGTGCTTCTACTATAAGAGGATTTCATGTCACGTAACAGGCAACGGGTTACGCTTTGCAGAGTATCGTTTCAGCGAAGGTGAATTGTCTGTCTGAAACATTGCTTACGGCAGCATCGTTGATGTTTTTTGTGTTTTTCTTCAGACATATTGAAGATAAGTCGACCGTCTTTGGCACAGCGCTGAGTTACATCTCATTAAGGATCCTGGGATTAGAGCCTGATGATCCGGATATGGTCCGAGCCAGGAACAACCTGCACAGCAAAGGTGGGAACAAATAGGTCGAAATGCTCCCTAAAGTGCCACGTCAGTTGTTGTTTCATTGTTTTATTATTATTATTATTTTTATTATTATTATTATATGTTGCTATTATTATTGTAAAATCTGCAGTGCGTTACACACATACATAATTACAGTTGGCACTAATTACTGATAATATTTTATGTTGTACAGGAGGCGCTGTGGGGATTCCCTCATGGGGTAAATTCTGGTTGGCCATCCTAAATGTCTACAGTTGGGAGGGAATGAACACACTGCTCCCAGAGATGTGGTGAGTCGTAACATCCCATTATGTCCTCTTCTGTCCATCAGTCCTGCTTTAAGTACACTGAAAAGCTTTAGCATTTCAGCTGAGGTAAGTGTAAAGTCATATAATATCATATATGCTGACTAAGATCATGTGAATGAGCCTGAGAACAAGGGCTGGGGGGGCGGGGTAAGTGGAGGCTCAGTGGAGCCATGAGTGCAAAAATATCACCGGAAGAGCCGAGTAATATCTGAATTTTATACTCGGAAGTTTGAACTTTTTTTGCTTCATGCACCACTGAGCACCTTTTATAGAAATAAACGGAGATGAAAAAACACATCAAATGTCTTCCTTGAAATATAAATGGTCTCACTGCTTTGTACAACAGAGGATTTCGTCGTCAAACATTTTGTCTTCTGCGTCGATTCAGGGATGATGGGTTTGTTTGTATCTGTTCCAGGCTGTTTCCCACTTGGATGCCGGCCCACCCCTCTACCCTGTGGTGTCACTGCCGCCAGGTGTACCTCCCCATGAGCTACTGTTATGCTGTCAGACTGGCTGCAGATGAAGACTCGCTGGTCCTCAGCCTCAGACAGGTGCTGAAACCACCTCATCCCACAAGGGCGCGTCAGAGGAGAGCCTTTGGTTTCATTCCTGGGTGTATTTTGTTGTTGCAGATAATATCTTCTGACATTATGAAGTGAGACTGTAGCCCAATACCCAAAGATGTTTGATTCACAATGAAATAAAACATAGACGAGTGCAAACTGCCGTTCTTTAGAAGCTGGAACCAGCTAATGTTTGGCATTCTTGCTCTGTAAGGGACTTGAATATTT